GCCACAATGGATTAAAAAAAAAAAAAAAAGCAATGGTCGACATAAATCTTTCTCAAGTGCAGCCTTTTTTCATGTTTGTGCAAAAATTATACAGCAGCCGTATTTGCTTTGAGCAGACAAATACGCGGTAAAGAAACGTGAAAACTCGCGTCTTAATGGCCTTTGCATTTTGTGGTTACTGTGGATGTACTGCGCATCAATATTCTCCTTTAATGGGATTCCCTGATGCTGGCCACGGAGTGCTTGTTAGCCCCACATTAGAATGTGAAAGACAGGGCCATGAGATGAAACTATAACGCTGGTCTTTGTATTGATTAGTGCAGCGGAGCGTAGCATGTGCTCCTCTTTAGTAGAATTATTGATTCCCGAAATACTCTTTGTGTACTTGTGTGTCCGTGTGGCTTTGATGTAAAGTTATGGTTGTCTAGCGACTCTTGTTTTGATGAGAGTATTTTGTTGGGACTTGAGGCTCGTCCCATAGCAGGTTGTGCTCTCCCTGGCCCACCCGTTTTTAAAATTTGAATTGGGTATCGAGGGCACTAACCAATAAATACCAACGGGTATTTACGGTTTCGTGCTTTGGCGAGAGGATCCTTTAAATGCCGCGTTTCCGTCACTCCAGCCTTTATCCAACCTGGGAATGTGTTAGACAGTAACACTGCTCTGACATTAAAAGCCGAATGTCAGCGACCACTTGTTCTGGCCAATAGTAGTTTGACTCGCTGTAATGCTTTAGCACACAACCCTGGCTGCTGTCATGACCTGGAGCGTGTGGCGGTCGTACAGAATCTCAAAAAGCTGAACGAGCCAAAATTTGAGCGAGCAACACCAGGCAAACGGAGCCTTTTGAGAGGCACTGTGACTGTTTGCGACCATGCCATACAATTAATGATACACTTTTCAGCCAAATCATCCAGCCCTGGTTACAATAATCTGCAAACGTATGCAATATAGACACATATGGAACAACCGAATTAGAACCAGAATTGCATAAAAAAAAACAAAAAAAAACCCCACAAATTTACAAAGACACCACGGATTACGTTAAATGGACCCTGGCCGAGGCTCGACGATCCAGAACATTCCCGTGGTTTGAGCCTTATGATTAAGAAACCATGGCCCGTAGTCTTTCCGTAGTCCTGCTAACCCACCAAGCAACAAGCAGCTGTCATTATCATGCACTGAGGTTGTACACGACTGCAAACTACAGCCACAATGATAAGCGTATGCTTTCGCGTCAATGTGTCAATCAAAACTGAGCATTGTCAGCTTTCTCGTGGCAGATCTTGTGGACTTGATCATTGCAATTGTTGATGAACTAACTTATACAAAAAAAAAAAAAAAAAAAAAAAACGTTTAGCCATGAATTAACAATAGCTTTAGTTTCCAATAAGTTTCGATGGCACAATTTATGATTTTTTTGAATAGACCAGCAGCTTCTGGAAAATGGGTAAAGATATAAAATGTTTTCAGGAATCTATCTGAGTTGTCTGTAATGGCAATCGAATTAAAAACACAAGAGTTAGATAGGAGTCATGGGTTCTGGATAAGCTAACCGCACCGATTAAAAGGCCGTTTGTCGCGTCCCTTTGTCAACATACGCTTTCAAACATGTCTGTTGCCGTTCCTTTGGCCGCACGGCAAATGCTCAGGTTGTGCGGCAACAAGGTAGGATGACTTGGAAGCTCCTCTTCGCCATGCTCGCTGACTCAAGATTCAGCTGGGATAATTGCTCCTGAATTTTTAACGAGCGGCTGCGTTGTGCACTTTGTGGAGCAGCATGCCTGAAGATCCCCGCGTGGCTTGCGACTGCAATAGAATTGCCCTTTTTTTTTTTTTTTTCCATGTCCGGAATGAGACATATTTTAGCATCGCATCATTGTAATAGGTGATGCTGTGACGTAAGTATGCTAACGACGTAAGCATGGCTCTAAATGCCGTCTCTAATGCTTGGCTGTACAGATAATTATCCTTATCTGATTTCATCTATTTACTGGTTGTAGTCACGAGCTGCCTTTGGCGGAATGCGTCAAAGCAACAGCCGTCGAACTACTTGCTGTTGCCATCTGGGCACTCGTTGCTAGCAGCTAGCGGCTAGCTCCTGGCCATGGACAACAGAG